CATCATCATCCTCATCGCCATCATCATCCTCATTGCCATCATCATCATCATCATCATCATCATCCTCATCGCCATCATCATCATCATCATCATCCTCATCGCCATCATCATCATCATCATCATCATCATCATCACACATCATCATCATCATCCTCATCGTTATCATCTCCATCTCTATCTCCATCATAGTACATCATCATTATCACACTCATAATCCAAAATCAACACCACCATCCTTCTCTCGGACATCTACATGCATCCTATCATCTCATCCTTCAAATCACCTTTCTGCGTGATTGCTTGGGCTTTCAAACTTCTTCATGCTCTCCTGCATCGGTATCAAGAGCATCGCAACAGCGTCAAAGAAACCAACCAGACTCGTCCTCTCTCCGCCGACCTCCAAACCCTCCTGACCCTGAGTACCTGCTCGGATCCTCACTCAGTCGCAGCAACCTTGCAGTCACTCAACACCCTACCTCCCCCGCGATACAGCACGGCCGGTCTGCCGTCATGCGGGGAGAAAGTGCCTGCAAGGGAGTAGGAGGGTAAGGAGAACAGCAGGGAGGCTGCGGGAGGAGCGTAGAACTCACGGGTCATCTCGTAGGGAGGAGACTTGGGTGTTGTGGAGCTCAGCTCCTCCTCTAGCTGCAGTCTGATGTGCTTCCTCACTAGGTTCTTCCTGGCCCCGCCTGCTCCCTCCCTCCCTCCTCTCATCGGTTGTGCCATCGGGGCAGCAAGAGACGGAGGCTCCTCTGGTTCCTCCCGCTCGCTCCCCTTGTTGGAGGAGCTCTCGAGGGTGTGCATGACCTCTGCTGCCCTGGCGTTGAACGAGCTTCGGATCGTCTTCCCCAGATTCCGCAGGTTCATCAGATCTTTTCTCATGCTCTCTATCCTCGCATCGAACTGAACCTTGCTGACCGAGCTGTACGAGGGTGCCGGGCTCCCCTGCTGCTCGCTGCCATTCGTCGATGAGTAGAGCTCCGCCAAGTCGTCGGTCCCTTCAGTTTGGGGCTCGTCTGCCAACGAGTGGTTTTCTTCTCTGCTTGCCAATCGTTTCTCGATGTTGAGAGAGTTAGTCCTCTGAAGCTCACTGAGCTTGACCAGCGACACAACGACCTTTGTCTTGCTATCAAACCCATCCATGTTGCTCAGGTGGTCTTTCTGCACGTGGGAAAGCTGAAGCTCGCTCATCTCCAAGGCAGCGGACAGCCCTGAATGCCGCTGTCGATGCCTGACTCGATTCGCCGAGGAAGCCGCAGGAGAAGATAGATGGTTTCTTGAAAGTCTATGACAGGCCAAGAAATCCCCCCGACCGATCACTTTGACTTTGCAATTATCGCTACTAAACCCTACCTCGCTCTGGATCGTCCGCGTCCCCCTTCCTCCATGGAAGCATCCCCTATCCCCTCCTTTCCAATCTTCTCGTTTCCAATCTCCCCTTTCCTCCTTCTCAAACTCTGTCCTCTTCTGTCTTCCTTCTCAGCTGCTATCCTCTCAGGCTCTCCTTCTCAGTTTCTATCCTCTTCTCTCCCTGCTCTGCCATCGTCACTTCCTCCCTCCCGCACTCTCATTTTCGACCCCATCGACCGACTCGGCGAGTCGATCGCCCCGGCATGGACTAAAACTTCAGTGACCCCAACAGGACCCCCTTCCGCTTCTCCTCCTACCCACCCTACTCTCCCCATCTCTATCACCCCCACTTCTTATTATAGAATGCTACCCCCCTTGTGTTAGTGACGAGGACCGGGTACTACCGTGAGAAAGTAACCGCCCAAGTACCGGTACTCCCTGTGAATGGTCAGCCCGTGGTACCAGTACCCTCCTTTAGGAAGCAAGATCCGTGGCGATAGAGTGGGGTAGGGGTCCGGGACCCGAGTTGAAGTCTTCTCTGTCACTGAGGCTAGCCCGGTTTTTAACGGACTCATTGAGACTCTCGGGCCACCGCCGGGGAGGCCGCGCCGCAGTGCCGGGCCTCAGGTAGCGGACAGAGGGCCCCGCGGTGCTGAGCCTTGGAGCCTACTCCGGGCGCGGGGCCCATGGCACCGTGACTCGGACGGCGGCCGGGCTGCCACTGAGCCTGGGCTCTCGGCGCCGGGGCCCGTGACTCCCCGGGATGAGTCGCTCCGACTTGAACCGGGGGCCGGGGCCCGGGCGCGGTGGCTGGCAATGACGCGGCTGGCTCAGTCAAGCCTTTCAAGTGACTGCGGCAGCCCTGGCGCGGCCCGCCGGCCGGGGCCGGCCGGCCCCCCCCCCCCGCCGGACTCCGGTGACCGAGTCCCCGGATCTGATCATGATCCGATGGTCCCCAAGGGCCCCGGGCCGGCGACTCCGCGGGGCGACTCTCGCCACTTAGTGACTGGTAGTATCGGCCACCCCAGGATTCTCTGAACCATTGAGGGGTGGTAGTCATCGGGGTCTAGAATCAGTGGGCCTTTCAGTTAAGTGACCGTGCCGGGGGTGATCAAGAGGAGCAGTACCGGTGTCCAAGCCAAGTAAAAGTACTCTTTCAGGCGGGTGGGTGGTCAGAAAGGTTGGGTGGGGTATAGAGAGCGCGAAGGGTCGCGGTGGATTGGCTCAACCCTTCAGGGCGGCATGCAGGATGGGGAGCGGGAAGGGATGGCAGGCGGAAGGAGGTCGAGCCGTGCGAGGGAGAGGAACGGCCAAGTCCTGATCCTCGTCCTGTGCTGCTCAGCGCTGATCGGTCTGACTCTCCTGCACGTCGAGTCGGTGCTCAAGACGAGGACGACGCTCTACGGCAACAGCATCCCTGACCTCGACTCCGACTTAGAGGGCATCAAGAGTCTAGAGCGCCAAGTTCATAACGAACAGGCCGTGCAAAGTCGTCTCTCCTCCAACTACCACAAGACCTTCACGAGTGAGTCCAAGGCTCCTTGCACAGGGCTGCACTGTGCTCCACAATCGCCGGAGGAGTACAGGTCACAGCAGAACAAGTACGTGAGCGCCGTACAGTCTGGGCAGGAGGATGATAGTGACTGCTGCGGAGATTCAAACTCAGACTCTGCAAGTGCCTCACCCGATTTCTCGATCAGCTCGATTGTCAAAGCGCTCAAGAGGAAGTTCAAGAAGATGAAGCAGCACTTCCGTGAAGTGCGGGCAAGCTACCTGCATGGGGAGCCGAGGAGGATGAAGATCCTGGTAACTGTGCGAGATTGTTCTCCATGGAAACTCACTGCAGCTCGTGTTAGATCAATCCGAGGGGGCCCCGCGGCTTCACAGGTCCCCCCGGAGTAGCAGGAGGTCCAGGGGATGAGGGCGAGCCAGGTATGGGCGGGACAGCAGGATGGTGATGTTTCCTCTGACCGATGCGTGACTGCCAGGCTCGATCGGTCCCGTGGGTCCCAAAGGGCCGAGAGGATTTCCCGGTCCACCTGGACCAGCGGGGAGGAGAGGCAAGAAGGGCATGACAGGCTCCATCGGTGTGCTGAGCCCCGTCGCAGTGCCTTCACCTCGCTGACGACTTGCTGTACAGGAAAGCCCGGTGCCAAGGGGCCCACGGGCCTCCGAGGACCGCAAGGCCCTGAAGGCGATCAAGGTCCTCCTGGAGCTCGCGGCATCCCTGGTGCCGCAGGTGCTCCTGGAACAAACGGGCCCGACGGACCTCCTGGCCCCCCAGGCCTGCCGGGAAGCGTCGGACCTCCCGGCCCTCCCGGTCCTGCGGGCCCTCCGGGTACGGCTGGAACGCCAGGGAAAGCTGGAGCTCCTGGTCCTCAGGGCATCCGCGGAGACACTGGGGCGCCAGGAATCATAGGAAGTGTGGGGCAGCAAGGGCCCGCTGGGTTGAATGGGATCGGGCCGAGAAAGATTGAGGCACTAAAGGTTGAAGGAACGAATGGCTGGGGGTCTTGCTATAAGATGTCAAGGACGTGCAGAAAGTTGGGAGTTGAGATCAACTTCTGTGGAGAATGCAAACCGCTCTGTCCTGATTGCGACGCCACCGTTGGTTTCAAACTTGAGAACAAGGAAGGGTTGCGGTACAAAGACTATGGGTTCGGTGACGCCAATACTCAAAGTGGCCGCAACGTCCCCATCAATGCCTGTCTGCTGGCAAGGTATGGAAACAAGGGGAAATATTCCGTCATACCCGGGAAGAAGAGCCGCTTTGTGAAGCTCCCTGGGAAGTCTGTCAAGGACCAATTCTACTGGTCTGAACTGTACCTGACGGATCAATGACTTTCTCAAGATGTTATTGCAGGCATAGCAACTGTACCGAAGGCGACAAATCGCAAGAATCTTGTTGCAGCAACTCGCGCGTCATTCCCTCGGGGTTTGACTGGTAAGCATTCACAAGCCTCAGTCACGGAAATGATTTTTGACATGACGCAGGGAGTCATTCTCGAAAGGAAGTACATGCAAGGGAGATGACGACCAGGTATCTTCCCGCAAGTCATCTAAGTCCTGACCCTCAATCCAGCGACCACCTTTGGGAGAGCTGTTCTGCATGTTCGATGAAGAACTGTACAGGACGTATGCCATGTAAGAGATGCTTGTCTATTCGACGTAAACATGAGCTGAATGTTGTCGTTCAGGGGTCCGCCTCCAACTGAACCACCTCCGAACAAGCTCTCAACGTCCGAATCACTGAAATCGAGTTCGGGTTTTGGCGGAAACTATCTGTTGTCAGCCAATGGCTTGTACACCGCTATCATGCAGACTGACGGGAACCTGGTGGTTTACCGACAAGGCGGATCAGCCTTGTGGAGTACAGCTACTTCCGGTGAAGTCTCAATTCCTTTAGTCTTATCTTGATCTTCCTTCAGGGCAAGGAACTGGCCAATATCGAGCAGTGATGCAGGGTGATGGAAACTTTGTGGTCTATGATTCCAAGAACAAAGCTCTTTGGAGCTCCGTCACATACAACAAGAAAGGATCTTACGTCATCATGCAAAACGATGGAAACTTGGTATTGTACACCGCAGCGAACAAGGTAATTCAAAAGAAGATTTGCTTCGTACTGTCGTTAATCTTGAAAAGAAACAATCCTTGTATTCAAGTCTGAACCTCTTATCTTTTCCATATTCAGGCACTCTGGAGCTCTGGGACAGCTCAAACTAGTGAAGTTGCTTCAGACATCGAAGTTGCTCGTGGAGATGGCATCTGTGTCACCTCCATTTGCTTCGCAAGAGAGCAATGGACAGCTTTGAAAGCTTTGTCGCAGGTAGCACCCTTGCTGTGATTGCTTCGAGTGCTGTTGCATTACCTGACGCGAGAATCCAGTCTCATTTGGAAGCTGGGCATGTTGGATTCAATGTACAGAATCAAGTCTCGGAGAGCAAGGTCATAACATTTCAAACCAAGTTCTCTCAAACTCCATACGTTTTCAACTCCATCACGTCGTTTGCTTCACACCCCACATACACAAGATGGGCCTACAACCTCCAAGCTACCGCGCGAAAGGGTTCGGTCAGTCTGATTTCGAGCAAAATATACGGAAGTGGCGGGCTGGAAGAAATTTCTCAAGATTACATAGTGCTCTCTTCAAAGCTTGCGGGGAAAGGTTCGCAGTTCTACGAGGCGCGGGAGCCACAGGATGGAGATAACAAGAAGATGATCCTGTGCCTGGGACGAGCATGCAGTGATGCGTCGATCTTTGAAAGGTTGTCTTACATGAGCAATGCACGGATGGAATCCGGGCGAGAGAAGTTCCAACAAAATCCAAGCTGTCAACAAAGTACTCAGTCTGTCTCTAGGTGGATACCTTTTAAGAATCGCTTTCATTCCACGCCAACTGTGATTTTGAGCATTTCGGAGCTTGACCTTTGTGGCCGATCGAACATCCGAATGAGCGTTCATGTTGCCTCAGTCAACCAGAATGGTTTCACAATGCGTGTGCAATCTTGGGCAGATACATATTTCAAGTCTACCTCGGTCGACTTCCTGGCGATTTCAACTGAGCTGACCACGTACGCAAAACCTTTCCGTCCCTTGTTCCCAACTCCATTTGATTTGGTCGGCAAGTCAGCTTGCATCGGCGTTGAGTGTATCGATGAAGACGATTTCGTCAACTTGATTCAAGTCTCCAACTGGAGGGTCGAGGTCGGAACACTGGCAGGAGGGTATTACTGTGGCTCGGGCGTTACCACACGTGACGTGGTCTTCACCAATGCCTTCCCCGAGAAGCCGGAAGTGAAACTCTTTGCCCGACACATCGACTCGTGTATCGGCGGTTGGAACAGGGGCCAGCTGAGCGTGACGGTTCACTCCATCAGCACCAGTGGCTTCAAGTACACGCTGCGCGGTCAGAACCTGTGGTGGGCAACATACGATTATATCGCTATCTCGAAGCCCATGCTCAACCCCGCGAAAGAAAAAGAGAAACCAGCGCCTCAGGAGAGCGTGAAAGGTATGAGGATGCCTTTCTCACCCTCTCAACTCCCCCTCCCTCCCTCCCTCCCCTCCTCCTCTTCACAGGGGTTTCACACATGCCATGGCAGGGAAAGGAACGTGGGGAGAATGCTTCGAGTACGGGGAGCAGTGCAAACAGCTTGGAATCACAGACAACCTGTGCGGGCAATGCCTGCCGCTATGCAAGCACTGCGACAAGCAGACTGGTTTTATCCTCAAGAATCTCGAAGGGCTCAGGTAGGGACACTGAAGTTCCTCGTCCTCGCCCTCATCGCTTCTCAGGTGGGGGAGGGAGCATCTCGGCTTCGACGACAACCGAAACTCCCAGGGCGAGTTCGCTCCTCGCAACTACTGCATGTTGGCGCGATACGGAAACAAGGGGTCCTTTTCTGCTGACGACTACCCGTCCGACAAGAGCTACACCACGAAATCCTTCAAGGTCCACGACCAGAAGCATGTGTACGCTAACTGCGGGAAGCACGCCCATGGCGAGTCCCAGTGCTGCGCGAACTCGCGACTGATCCCGTCCGGGTGGGACTGGAACCGGTTCGCCCATGGGGACTCGTGCGGTGGCGACAGCGACCTTGACTACCCGTCGAAGGAGCTGTACTGCTACTTCGACTACGAAGACTACAAGGAGAAGAAGAAGATGTAACAGTAAACCCCCGACGCTCTTGCTTTCTCCTCCTCCCCGTCTCACCTAGAGAGCTCAGGAGGTCTCCACCACAACACCCTGTTCTTCCCCTAGTCCACATGACAAGCGTGAGGCTCTTGTCGGAGCGAGGGGAGCTCACCTCGAAGTCAAGCACGTCCTCTTGTATGTTGGGGTCCTTGGCCTTGAGCCATTCCACCAGATCCTCGTATGTTCGCACCATCTTGCCGTCCCCTCTCTTCCTCCTCGGAAACTCCTGCTCATCCCCTGAGTTCCCATCCTCCTCCCACCGGCGGCCTCCCGCACCTTCCAGTACACACAGCAGGGGACACAAGCAAAGGGCTTGCGGAGGGCAAGAGCATAGTCCACCATGTCGCCGACAGCCTGGCAAGTGCAGATTTCATTTTCAGCAGCAACATAGACACTCGCCTCCTTTTTACCTGATCCGGATGCATGCCGACCAGGATGGAACAGGAGCGGAGAACCCTTAGAGCCTCGGCTGCAGCACTTCTCAGCTCATCCTCTCCCTCTGCCTTCGCTGCTTCTCTACCAGCATCTTCGATCTCCTCTCCGTCTCCCGACTTGCTCGCCTCCTCCTGACTGCCTCCCTCCTCTCTGTTTCATCAAGGTCTCAGAAGGAGCCGGGGCATGTGCGAACGTTGGGACAGACGTCATCGACGGCGCGCCAGCGTCGTCTGGAGGAAGTCACACTACACAAGAGCCGATCTACTGGATCTGTATCACCCTCCTGCCTTGCCTTCTGCCTGGGGTACAAGTGATCCGCCGTCTCCTCGCTCGAGGGCTTCAATCCCTTGGTGGTCCACACAAACTGAAAGGAGGGAGAGCGTTGAGAGATTTCATCGCGATAGCAGAAGACGCCCACCTCCTTGCTCCTCCTCACAGAACTCGTGAAGAATTCCTGCCATTCCTGCCCCTCCTTCTCCTCTGTCGACAAAAGTTTAACTTTCACTTTCCCAGCAGGAGGAAGAGGGGCAGACCGTGTTGGAGGACGTGGGATAAGAGCGGCGCATCGAAGAACAATCGGAGGTGAGTGGGAGAGACAGGTTGGCTGTCAGCAGACACTGACGGGTCGATGTACATGTGCATGAGCGGATTTCGCCAGTAGATGCTGAAGGAAGCTAGTCAACGCAGAGGAGAGGAAGGAGGAGAGGAAGGAGGAGAGGAAGGAGGAGAGGGAGGAGGAGAGGAAGGAGGAGAGGGAGGAGGAGAGGGAGGAGGAGAGGAAGGAGGAGAGGGAGGAGGAGGAGAAGGAGGAGGAGAGACCTATACAGCAGCTTCCTCCTATAGCTCGAGAGCTCCAATGGTCTCGGATCCACCACCGTCGTTGGGAGTCTGCCAGTATTTGAGGTCATCGTCAGCCTCCGCTAGCGACAAGAAGTGGCAGGAGAGGAGGGAGGGAGGGAGGGAAGGAGGGAGGAAGGGGAGAGGAGGAGGCGGGGGGGGGGGGGA